GCATATGGTCTTCCAATGGCGGTCCTCAAGGCTTTCCAATGTGGGTTGCATTCTATACTTTCCAAAACCTGTAACATATTTAAGCACGCTTTGGAAAATTGAAAAGGTGCAAGTTAAAGAACATGCAGCAATAAACGCAATGGAGAACAGTAGCACTGGTCACATCATGAGAACATTTTGCGCACTCATTGTCATGTTCACAAGTAGAACTGTTCAGCCTATGTTTTCAGACCTTAAGGCTCTTTAACAGTGCTTTAGATCTGGTCATACACTTAAGCAGGTCAGAGATGATTCTATTTTCCTTCCTTTCACCACGGGTTGCAGGAAAGAAAAAAGAAAAAACGCTCAATTCCCCAATCGGCACATTCAGTTTTGATGGGGGAATCCCTCCCACAGAGCTAATGTGTTCTGCCAGTGGGAAGCCTTCTTGACTGACAAAACACAATGATTACTGCTAGTGGCTCTGGCTGCTGGCAGTAATTGCATCCAAAAAAATCAAGACAGGATGGTTGCTCGATGGACGGACTTCACTACAACCCACCTGCTCATAGATGGATTGAATCTTGGCTGGTCCCTGCTGAACCAAGTGAGATTCAATCCATCTATGGCCGGCTTTAGAGGTGAAAATGGCTGGCTTTAGAGGTGACTAATGCTTGTCACACTAGCAATTCTATTTCTGGAGATAACATACCAATGACAAAGTCTCTAACACACCACTCATCTCCTAATACAGTGCCACTCCCTTGTTGACCAGACCAGTGAAACATCCCTCCATGGCTGCTCCCTTGCTATCGAATGAGATTCTGTGACTTTTTGGCCAGTTTATAAGTTATGTTTATTAAGGAAGCAGAATCTCCAGTGTGACAAAGTCTTTACACAGGTACTGGCAGTGGAGAAAACAGGCGTTGTCGGGGACAGTGGAGAAAACAGGCATTGTCGGGGACAGCGGAGAAAACCGGCATTGTCGGGGACAGCGGAGAAAACAGGCATTGTCGGGGACAGTGGAGAAAACAGGCATTGTCGGGGACAGTGGAGAAAACAGGCATTGTCGGGGACAGTGTACACAAGTTTATGAGATCGGTTTGAGTCAGTTTAAGATCAGTTTGTGCTTTGCTTTTTTCTTTTTTTTTTTCCCATCCATGCACATAAATGTGAGTGCAAGGAACATGGATAGTAAACACACCCCAAATGCCTGTGTACACTCTAACCCCATCTTGAGGACCACAGCTGAGACCACTGGATTAGACAATGCCTAGAGAGCATGCAGTAACAGGTAAAAGCTCAGTCCATGTGTAACCAGATACATAGGGCATGTGTGTCAGATTTCTATATAGTTAGGCAATGCATTAAAATATTACAAAGTTATACCAATCCAATTATCTCATCTGCAATAATGTAAACAAAACTAGAAAACATGCACTTTAAGGCTAGTCAGACAGGTTGCTTTTAGTATGTAACTGACACAGAGCCTTTGAACTATAACACATGCTTTAACATTTGTCACAGTGAAATCTGCTGACATACCATCAGCTTGGCATACTGACAGATTACACCAAGAAAGACACTACATGCCTCTTAGCTGAAGGTTTCTCACACTAGCCAGTTCCATCTGAATGCTTTAAATTTGGAGAATAAGCTCTGCGGCCTTGTCATACAGGCAGGAAAGGCACCTGTACACCGATGTGTAACAGGACCACACAGCTCACCTGCGATACCTCTTAAAAAGTTCATATTGTGCCAATTGTCAGATATGTTGCTGGCAGTTTCCATCTGACATTAGGGCAAGTTTGCACAAACAACATTAGACATAGACCTTCATAACTGAAGCATCTATTTTCTGTGCCAAAAAAAAAAAAAAAGACACGGTCGATCAAAGGTTTCCACATGAATTCATCTTTGCTCCGATGAGTGTAGAGGAGAGTGGTCCACTCATAATCTCTACTGTGTCTCCCCTGGGCTGATGTGACGAAGGCCTAAAAGAAGCCGATTGATAGGAGGGACCTGATCAAACCTTTGTGTTTAAAATGCATGTACTTTAACATGTTTTTCACAAGTGCCTGAGTATTTTTCCAGCATTACAGTAAAGGTTTTTGTCCCTTCAGAGGGTAATACACTTTGTACATTTTTATTTGGAGCCAAATCACAAAGCCTAGGGCAGAACAAACTATAGCAAAACCTGGGGCAATCCCCCATTGTGTTTAAAAACAAGACTTGTTTGGCTGTCAAGAACAATGGCTCCACCCAAAAATCCATTGTTTTGCCCTTGTTCTTGTAATTCAGCTCCTCTCTTGGAGCATCTCTAACAATAAAGACAACAGCTTTTAAGCCTGGGGTCAGTTAAAGTGATTGTCCATCCTGAAATTTCAGTTATTTTATTCCTTTTAATACACACGCACCAAAAACGCAACAATACAAAAAGTCCACTGTGACTAACTTGCAACAATTACAAGGTTTGCCCAACTATGACCTTACTCTTGATAGCAATCTCGGAGGACCAGCAATAGGAAACACAGATCTAACTCAGACCTTCCAACTCCCAGAAAAACCATGAGAAGACTGCAGTAGATGAACAGCTGCTGCCTACATCTGAATCCTTACATAAGCCATTCCATTTGGCTTTTATTCGGTTCCAAAAACCAAAAAAAAAAAAAAAAAGTTAAAGTGCTATAAGCAAACCCGTCAAATGAACACGTTTCTATAAGAACAACGCTACTTTTTTCAACATTAAATTTACAAGATAATATACAGGTTTATCAAACAGCTGAATCTTCAGCACAGAAAAATAAACTCACTGTCACACTGAGAACAGCAACTGTACTCGCATAACACCGAATAGAAGCATCGTAACTGAAAGTGTTCTGCTGAGCCGTTATTGCACAAAGGCTTAGATTTCTCTACTAAACAGCTACCGATAGAGCCTAGACTGTTTTATTTTTCTCCTCTGAGGTCACATGACAGATTGCATATTCCACAAAAAATACAAATTACAATACTGTCTACTTATTGTACACGTCAACCATTTTGATTGGGTACTAAAAGTACAACATATACGCACCCGGTACAAAACTACAATAGACTTTCCTGCTTGTGGTGTTCCCCCCCCGCTGTCTAGGAACATTATGTATGGTATGAATAATCCATTGTGTTCAGATCTCTGAACCAAAATACAAAAATAGTTATTGAACCAACTGGACTGAATGTTCATAAAAGTCTTTAGGCTTCAAGGCCATTATGAAGTTATATTTTGGTGTGGGCAGACACTGATGGACTGCTTCACCTGGTGTAGCTTGTTTCTCCTCCATCTCCACTGGTGTCACCTTCTCATGATTAATATTTTACATTATGGGGGCTTTACTGGGGACCAGCTATACTATCATGTGGTTTACAGGCAGATATGGGAAATTATTTGGTGTCCTCATCACTGGATTACTGTGGAGTTAAAAGTCATCATGTGATTCAATTTGTCAGCAACCGGCCAAAACCGATTACCCCGTTGAAGGCAAAGTAACATTTTCTCTCGATATCCAACCATCCCACTGCCAAGAGTCTTAAGTAAAAAGACCTGAACCCACATGGGTCCAAAAACTAAGCACATGGGTCTGAGGAACCCACCCTATAAAAATCTCGGGCCTAGAAACTTGCTGTCTGGGTAATGAGCACTGCATTGTAGAAGGAAAAGTACTGCGTACCTCATATATCATAGGGCTTTCACGTAGAAATTGGCTAGCAAGGGAACACAGAATTTGTTTCAACAACAGAGGATGGTCTTCCAGTGTAACGGTTTACTTTGCCTTAAATGAACAAAGTTAACCTATATTGGGGCAATACAGAGGCTGCCACTGCTCCACTCCCTTTTCAAAAATGCTAGTTTCATGGCCATCATGCTAAATCAATGAATTTGATACTTTCTGAGAGACACACTAACAACAAATAGGCAGGTTAGGAGTTTCTCTAAGTGAGCACCTGGTTTAGAATTGAAGCCATCTTAGCCCAGCCATTCTGACCCAGGTGCTGGCATTTCCAGGAGGACAGCAATTACAGCGTCCATGTTTACCTCCGTATAGAACTCCTTTGAAAAGGTATTTCTACATAAAACAATCCCTGGCAGTATATTCTCAATGTTACCTACAGTAAAGCAAGCTTCCTCAGATACAACCCTGCCACCAGATTATTCAGAACCTCCTGAGTCCCATTTGTAAACATCAGGATGCGGTTACAATGCAGAATACCATTATTACTGAACACACAAGTTGTGTTCTCAAATTCACCAGCAAGTTACACAACATTTGACATTGCAGGAACTCAAGTAAAGGGATGGTAAAAACATTCTTGGGATAGGGAGTTTGAGTTAGATACCTGGGGTTGTTTTGCTGAAAATACCCTTGCACAACCAGTCTAGGGTTTCATGTTCCCCACAATGTATAATGAAATAAAAAGGAGAATAAAGAAGTGAGAGGATGACAACTTCAATGGGTTAAGTAGAAAGGTGCAGGCATATTGAATATAATTGGCAGGTCTTGCTACTGGAGTCCTTGAGAGACCCAGAAAGGAATCCAATTTCACACATTAGTGCCCACCTACAACCAAAATATAACTTTTGGGTGAATGTATCAATTAACTTGGCTTCTAAAATACCTTACTGGGGGAAGGTTTAAAACAATGCAACAGCTGTTATAACTTCACAGCTGACCACATGGAAATAACTGCAGTCTGCTTGTGATATGTGTACTTCTACAACCTTCTAGACTTGAGCCAGTGACAGAGAAAGTGACAGAGTTACGACAGTCATCAAAAACGTACAGTTACAGCTTCACCCAATATTCATGTCCGAAAATAGATATAACTACCGAAAAAAATAAAAAATTACTATGGTTAAATATTAACAAAAATACAAATATATTAAAAGGGTATATATTAGTAAGCTGCAGTACGTGGAGTCTCTCCTCCTCTCTTCTGTACAAGGTTGAGAAGATAATCCTGTGCTCTATTTATTTACATATTTACTCGAATGCCCAAATTTCAATGTCTTGGACAATGAAATCTTCTTTCTTAGAAAGTGTAGTATTTTCAAAGGTTTTACACGAGTGACTTCTCCCGTGGTAAAGGTCTCCGTCCAGCCATAGCGCAAACTCTCCTCTGAAAGAACAAGGAGACAAAAATAAGTGAACCTTAAAATTAAGGTGGTCAGAAGTACAAGAATATAGGATGATAAAGGTATTTCTCTAATCAACAGTCTCATATTTATTGCAGTTTTACCTTTAAACTACTATGTCACCAAAAAAAAAAAAAAGTCCAGCTACTGATTTTAGCTCTCTTGCAGGGCATCACTAGATGAACAACCTTCAGCATCCAAAACTTCTGGTTGTGTTGGATGCCTGCGTCGGCCACTGTGGTTTCAACCGCTGGCTACTATATCTGTGCTGTGTCCCTGCAGGCTGGCAGGTGGAACCACAACACACAATAGGGGGGATCAGGGGCATTCAGTTGTTTGAGTGCAAGAGAATGAAGATCCGAGACATGGGGTGTGGACCAGGTAAGTATTTTTAACTCTTTTACAAGGTTTTTTTTTTTTCACAACAGTCTTGTTAAAACCGCTAATTTTAAGACTATATCTTCCCACACAAACAGCTGGAATGATGTTCAGATGAGCATTTTATTACAGACTACTTTTGTTCCTTATCCATCCTAACATTATTCAGCAAAAGCACTTTTTTCTGCTACAAACCTTAAAAAGGTATAATTTCAGTCAAAACTGAAGACAATTTTGCTAACCGTATTGCAATCCAGGAGGTCTTTAAACACATCGACCTCAGGCTCATTGCTGTCCCACACAACGCAAACCTCATGTATTTAAAGCAGAACTAAATCCACAGCTTTGACAGTTTCTCAGAATAGTTACATTCAAGGAATCCCATGAATGTTCCTTTCTGCATCATGGGTAGAACCATCAAAGAAACCCTCTTATGACACCATCCCTTTTGTAACTTTAAACCCACCAGCTGGAGGAGGAGAAAAAGTGAACTGGGACTTTATTTGTGCCCTAAAGAGGACATATAGCAAGATAAAAATCAATCCAACTATACTACAAAAATAAAATCCAATGAAGAAAAGAACAGAGAAAATAAAAATCAAAATTGACATAATGGACGCATATTTGAGGTTTCAAGGTAGCAAATGTTGAGTTTATATTTTGGTTATATTGTTATTAGTGTTTTGTACAGCCGTATCAGCTATCCTCAAAAGGGCATGGATCCTGAAGAAGCAAGAATATCATGAAATGCATCAATTATGCTACCTAGAACTGCAAATATGTGTCTATTATGCCAATTTTGATATGGTGATTGATTCTTTTCCTTGTACTTTTTAAATTAGAATTTAATTTTTTGGTATATGATTAAAGTCCCAATTCACTTGCTCCTCCTCCAGGTGGTGGGAGAATGGAGGATTATTATAGGGCATCCTGTGAATGAAAACTGTCACAGCTGCTTGTGCTCTCAACTGAACGGTCAAGCCATTAGATGGCTGGTGTCATAACTGATCACACGTGCAGAGCCACAATGATCGCAAATCAAACCAAGGCCAAGATGGCAGCTTCCTTGCAGTAAAGAATAGGAGGATTTAGTTCCCCTTTAAGTGTCAGTACGAAGTTTAAATCTGACAGGTGACAGGCTGAGCAGAGAAATGTCTCAGAAACACTCAATGCATATGTGAGAAGCTCTGTGCAATCTGACTGCAGTGGGTTATACAGACGCAAGAATAAAGTGACAAGTTCTGGTTAAAAAAAATAAAAATAAAAATCTAATTTAAGTATGTATTAAAAAGTCAAAAAGCACACATTCTATGACTCTCAACCTCCTCTAAATCTCAAAATTCCTTTTTTTATTGCTACGGTGACCAGACTTATTAGAGGATGGCTACGCTTATACTTCATGTATGTAGGAATGTAGCCATCCGCTTTCCTGCTCCCTCCCAGGATGGACTATGGGATTTGTAGTGTGCATAGAGCACTGGAAAAAAGAGGTTTGGGAGCGGATAGTGGGCGTTACAAGGAGGCAGAAGACACCATAAGAAACAATTTAATGAATAATAGATTACAGGTCTGTAAAATAGTGGATGTGAATGGATTATTTTAAAGAATGAGGATATTATTTAATGTAACATTAGGATAAAGGGAATAGGCCTACTGACTTGGACAACATTAGCAGTTCAACAATTGATTTCACCTGCTGTCTGAAAGGCATCTAAGATGTTAGGGTCAATATTAGACATTCAAAGCAAATCAAGCAGTGCCGGGGAGTGCTGCATGTCACCGTAAACAAGCAACTAGCTCTATAGTAAGAGATTACTTGGCTCATTTGCTTCCAGTTACAAAGTGTACATCGCCATCTAGAGGCTTCAAGACAATGCTACAGTTTACTTCTCAGAATGGACCAGATCATTTTTTTCCTGACGTTCTTCTACAATAATGCATGTACATTCACAGAGAAGGTGGTCATGCATACTCTTATAGTTTACAAATAAAAATATCAAAGACTAAAGTATCTCCATGTATGAGACAAGTAGACTCTATAGACACTCACCAGCAACTTTATTAGGTACACCTTGCTAGTGCCAAGAAAATCTCCCCCACACCATTACACCACCACCACCAGCCTGAACAGTTAATACACGGCAGGACAGATCCATGCTTTCATGTTGTTTACATCAAATTCTGACCCTACCATCTGAATGTTGCAGCAAACAGTCTGCCCATTTTCCTCTGACATCAACAAGGCATGTTCATTCACACAACTGCCACTCACTGGATTTTTTCTCTTTTTTATTATTCTCTGTAAATCCTAGAGAATAGGGATGCACAAATACCGTTTTTTAAATCGACGAGTAACGATACTTTCGGTCAAGTACTTGCGGATACCAAGTACCGATACTTTGTGGTGTGATTTGCATTAATGGACGCAAATTGCACCGCAAAGAATAGCATGCAATTTGAACAGGAATTTGAACAGGTGTTACCAAGCAATTGAACAGGTGTACATAATAAAGTGACCAGTGAGTGTATACTCCTAACACTTGTCAGATAGGTACTAGGGCATCACCCAAACTACACACTTTGTTTTTAGTGAATTCTACAGAAATTGTATGCAAACCTAACATTTTTTTTAGTATCCATCATTTTTTAGAAGGCTATAGAGTGGTTAGCACTTTTGCCTTGGACTGCTGGGGTCATGGTTTTAAGCCCAACCAGAGACACATGGGTTACCACTGGGTACTCATTTCCACATTCCAAAACACGGGGGTAGGTTAACCGGCACCTTATCAGAGAGGTTCCAGTGCATGTACGCATGTGCCAGTTTGCATGTGGCTGGCACAGAGTTTAGTCTGTGCCAAAAGAGTGGTTTGTTGTCCAGACAGACTCACTGACTGGCTTTACCAGAATGCTGGTTGCTAAATACTTTTAACAGACCCCAAGAGAATAATGTCTTGGCACTGATCATACGACTTGTTCCAGAACAATGCAAATTTTAGCATTTTACAAAATATATAGCCATTTCAAGTGCATTTACATATGGAGGGTAACTAAACCTCCCAGGGTTACTTCTTGGGTTTGGGTCATTAGTCTATTTAAACACTGTACAGATTTGACTGTACTCCCCATTCTGTAACTTTAATGTAAAATGTGGTTATATAGCGCTAGATTATATTTTTAAGGGTTAGTTTACCTTTTCAGAAAAAAATTAAAAGATAAAACAGGGTACACCCTCCCAACTCACTCGCTGCATTTGCCTTTATGGGTGATGAGCAGTCAATGCCCACACAGCTGGTATGATCCAGGGATTTGACAATCCTGCTGTTCTTCCTCTTCTTTCTGTAGGGCTTCTGGGATGGATCAGAGCAATTCTGATGCATGTGACCGCTTTCACCAATCTGAGTCCCTCTGATCTGTCCTGGAAGCCCTACAGAAAGATGGGGAAAAAAAAGGAGTAGGGATTTCAAATCCCCGGACTGCTACACTGGCTGCGCATGCAATGACAGCTCATCACCCAGGAAGGCAAGTGCAGCGAACCAGGGAAGTGAGGAGGGTGTAGAGTGTTGGTTCACCTTTTCATTTTTTTTTTAAATAAAGGTAAGCTTACACTTTAAACATAAAATTGTCAGTCCCCTAAAAAGGATTGCAGCACATTATTGTTACAGTACAAAGACACTTACCCTCCTCCACCGAATGCTAGTGAGTCCATATCACCTTTGATAAAGAACATATTATCTCCTGTCCATTTAAACACCTAGGAAAGAACAGAAGAAAACAATAACAAGTTGCATTCCTCCCCTCCCTTTTTACAGTCATATGTCCTAACAACTACCAATCATGTCATGTGATATAAGTTCTCTATAATTCCTACGGTCACAAGAAGCTTACAAAATAAATAATGCAAAGAGTTCAAAGAGATAAATAGACTATCCAGCACTGCTATTAAAAGGAGACCAGAAAGAGGAAGCTGTCTGGCTTTTATTTTCCATCTACAAGAATGTGAGTAAAGATTACAAGTGTAAGTATTCATAATTACTACTGACATACTACTGTATAAAAGTTAAAGTGACCCTGTCACTAGGATAACTATGTGCCCTGTCTGGCAATCTTCGCTGTCTTACAGAGCTACATGCACTACTGATATCCAACACGTCTTGGTCCCCCAATGGGCACCACTGTTCCTCCTGATGTCTGCTATGGCACTACTGCATCCTACAATGAGGTAACAGCCCGTCCCACTGGCTCCTGATGAGAAGCCTTGACCAAAAGCATTCATGGACAGCTTGGTCAGCGTACTGGAAGCTTGCAGTGAGCATGCTCTCAAAACACAAACATCATACTGCCATGGAGGCATTTGTGCCACAGCTGGGCAATAAATCCAACCTTCCTTGCTGCCACAGTCAGCAAGAGGTTAATGCATTAATTTGCAGAAAATAAACACAAAGCAAAAAATTGCTAGACTTCTTAAAACTAGACAGTATAAACATGTCAAGAAGAGATGGGTTTTCCTGTTTTGATTAGTCACTGTAAACTTAAATGTGTTCTAATTAAGACCTCATTTATACAAGTTGTAATCACCAGGGCTAATCATGGCTGATTAAATGTGTTGATGAAGCCATAATATTCCCCCAACAGCCCATCTGAGATCCAACGTCTGTGTATTCAGAAGAAATAAATAACCCCGGATGAGTAGCAGAGTTTCTACAATGTGAAAATGCAGTATAGAATAAGGGGGCTGAACTGTAAAATGTGGAGGTGTTGAAAACCATCTGTGATACCACTAGCTGCCCATAATATTCCAGATGCCTTTCTTGAAATGAGGGTTATGAATTTACAGCTGGAATCAAACCTTTTCCTGCCAACTACTTCAATTAAAATTCTGATGCACAATTGTAAAGCCACGGGGCGTTACAATCCAAATTTCTCAATTCTTTCCCAATATGCGGAACAGGATCAAAAGACAATGAAGTAGCAAACAAATCAACTGAACTGAGGCTGTTTGGTTGTGTTACAGAAACCGATCACAACTAACCCAGTGAGTGCAGAAAGCAGGTACCAACTGATTGCTGCACATACTAATAAAATTTTGAGTTACTGCATCCAAGGGTATGCAAAGGCTGAGGATATGGAAAACAATTTGTGGAATGGTGGCACCAACAAGAAGCATCTGCATTCCATTATCTAGTTCATGTTTATATGCTCTGCCTTTTTTCAAAACAGGAATTTTTAAAGGGGCTCTTGGGAATTTCAAGGTTCTTGAAGTAGGTTAAGATGCATGATAATCTATCTTCTGTCTATTAAAATGTTAATCTTGTTATAGACGGTTTTCTTCAACGTTGTCTTATGCCTTCATTTTAGAATATTTCTTCATCTTATTGATAGTGGTTCTTTTTGTCTACAAGGTTTAATATTAACATGGGTAAATATTTTCTCTTCTGCCTAATCTACTATTGCACAGTGTGCTTCTTAAAGGGTAAGCCCACTCAATATGAAATTTCAGCTATGGGTGAAGCCTGGCATGCTAAAGCACCTCTGGCCTTCTTATAATCTCATGGAAGTCGCAGCAATGAAATCTACTTTGCACAGTTACTAGGTCTTTTCCAACTAAAAGTGAAGCTTTCAATGTTTTGCCCAACTTCGCGTGGAGGAACTCAAACAACCAGCAGTGAGCCGTGATCGTAACAAAACTGAACACCTTTGGGTTGATTTGCAACAACTGTTTTCTTGTCCAAAGTCCAAATCTAAACTCACAAAAAAATTTTTTGCAAAATGGACACAAAATCCCACATGCACTGTGGAAAATCTTCCCAGAACAATGAAGACTGGTAAAGCAGCACATGGTGCCCATAGTTTTGGAATGAAATGTCAAAAAGTATATGGTGTGATGGTAAGGTGTCTAAAAACATATATAGTGTACTGTACTTTTAAGTGGTTTCTGTAACTTGTTAGAATGGCACTGTTGAAATAAAATATTGGAACTTTGAATTCACATCATCCATATATTGTATTAGAAACACAATATCACTGCCGCTTCACCCTCCCTGACAGATGACAAGCAAAAATCTATGACGCAGAGATGCACTTCTTTGCTGACTCTACAATCCCAGGGACAGGCCTGATATTGCCTAGAAGCCCATAGTCTCTGCATTAGTTTCCAGAGTGTTCTTGGGAGAAGAGGTACAGCCACTTGTGATCAGAGGGGAAACATAAATTGGGATTTTATTAGTAGTAGATAAATTAACCTTCACTGCTTGGCTCTCCTCTATCCTGAAAAAGAGTAATTCGTCTATATCCCGAGCAGGGTATCCACCTGGGATACTATAAATAAGGGAACAGGAAAGTAAGCAATATACAGACCTATTATGGAGAATCCACTCACCTGAAAGTCAGGACAAAATGTAAACAGGAAAGTCTCCCCAGTGCCATAGAAGCAATCACTCACTTTTAAATGGCTCTGATGCTAATGCTCCAAAAATCTGTAAAAACAGAAATATCACATTGACTTCTATGTTATATAAATGATATTGTTTTAAAATACAAATTATACAGTGGATATTGGCATAAGATGAAGATGAGCCCAGATGACTAACAACAAAATTCTATTTTCAAAAAAAAGGAAAACATTATACAATATTCATATCTAACAAAAATTTTCAAAAAGGAGCTGACAGAAAACTCCCTTTGCATCTAGTATGAATGACAGGCTTCGGAGCTGGTTCCATGTTACAGTGATCCCTCATGTACAAAAGTTCCATTTCTACCAGTCCAGGCTGTCTGCTGACACCAGTGTTTCTCATCTGCTGAGTGCAGTTATCCTACTGCTGGACTGCAGCCTGACAGCTGTCAGAATGCTCGAGTGTGTACAGTGCTGTGGGTCTTTCTGCTCTCCACCTGCACTAAATACTTCCACCTCCACCCCGCAACATGACAGCTCTCAATAGTGGCTGCTGCTCTTCCTCCTAGACAAGCTGCGGTGTTGTTTGGTCACATATGTTGACCCAACTAAAGTGAGCCAGAAGCAGCAGGCTAAGCAGTAGGTCCTTTTGTATGTGGGTTATCGATACACATGGGTGATTTGGCTCGTACAACCAAAAAACTGGGCATTCAGGGATGTATGCCCCGAACTTCCGTGTAACAGTTACGGTAACGCATATTTTTAAACGGATTAATTTCTTTTTATTACAAGTACATAAATGCATCTCCCTACTTTTATGGAAAAAAATTGATTTTTTATATTCTATACCTGTCAGGGTATAAAAACTTTTTCTGTGAATTTACTGGGCCCTTGTCTCACAAAGGCTGAGAACCACTGGCCTGCACTGATGTTCAATTTTTATCTGACACGGCTCTATTTTTGGCATCTACGGAAGCTACACTGCTCAGTACACAGAGTGATCCCAGCAATATGCAGAGCTCCATCCATGGGTGCTAGGGTGTCATGACAGATGCAGAATACACTTCTGCTACAACAAGCATTAGTCTGGCAATGCTACCAACAGGTCATAGCCAAGATTAGTAATAACTAGTGCAGCACAGAAGTGCATGCACCAGGGACAAGACAAGGGCGTCTATAATTCTCTATGGTCATTCCCTGCCCTGAGCTTATACTGTCAACTTAGAGCTACTGAGGGAATTGAGCGTATTGTGATTGGAGGCCTTTCCTTTCACAGATATATGACTGATAATACATGTACACACACACACAGATGATTAAAAAGCTGCTTGAGACAAGCAGCAAGACGTCAGTCTTTGTCTCAATCTACAAATACATTACTAAGGTGAGCAACGATTCACCTCTAACAGAAATGACAATTCTCAAAGTTATTGTCCCTCAATACAATAATGAATACATAGGTAGAATTAAAGAGACATTAAACAATATCAATATTCTCCAAATATAATGCATACACATCCACTACTTAACTGCCCTGTAATCTATTTTTTGTTAGGTGTTTTTCTGCCTCCTTGTAACATCTTTTGTGAGCTCCTGAAGCTCTTCTTCCACTGTTTTGGACTGGGCCACCTACAGACCATTTACTGTGATCTACCAGTGAGCTAAATTGATATAGAATTACGTGCACGTGGAAGTAAGACACTGACACTTCGCAGTTTGCCAACTTCCTAAAATTCTGTTTTATTGAGGAAATAACAGTAACATTTATAGGTCTCATGATGCAGGCGAAGCATATACATTGATTGGGTGAAAAGTCCACTAGGTTTCTGTGTGTTCTTCCATCCGTGTTGATATCTTCCAATCATTGTCCCCAAAACAACTCATTCCATTTTATGGGGGGTTGTTTATGTTAAAAGATACTTTTCTTCTAATGAGTCACCTAGGGTGAGACTCCGGATGAAGGCGCCATCTTAATTATCATTGTTCTGTCAACTTATATCTGATTGTTTTCTTAAGAGAGTAAGGAATTTAAAGAGCAAGAAGCAGAAAGTAGCAAGACTATAAGATTGTCATTTTACTAATCATCTAATAGAATGTGGACTGTCTATCACAATCCACTACACCACCACCCCACTTTTTTTTTTGGAGCAAACAGTGCATGTTCGTTCGGTGTCATGTGCATGGATCTATGAACACTACAAATCTCATAGTCCATCTCAGGAATGAACAAAAGAGGGCAACTACCTTCCTACATACAGTGGGCTGAATCCAAAAAACAGAGGTATACTGCTCAGGCAAACAATCCATGACAGGTGCAGGCTCTGGCTCGCCACCACACACGATGCAATAGGAAGAAGGGTCAGCCGCACACCGGAAGATTGATGAATATAGTGTGTATTTATTGATCCATAGGACACACAAAACACCAGGACATGAATACGGGACTTGTTGACGCGTTTCACACAATCTCGTCCTTAATCATAACCATGATTAAGTTATGATTAAGCACGCGATCATGTGAAATGCGTTAACAGGTCCTGTATTCATGTCCTGGTGTTTTGTGTGTCCTATGGATCAATAAATATACACTATATTCTTCAACCCTCCGTTGTGCGGCTGACCCTTCTTCCTGTTACATACAGTGGGACCAGGGATAATAACAGGAACTTGGATCAAGGCAACAAAATAAGGAATTTGGAGGATGCTGATAGCAACAGAATGGACATTATTAATTAAGAATACAAACTAGAATAGATTTTGTTTCTTAAACGAGAGTTCAGTGTCACTTTAATTACTTAAAGTGGATGAGAACCCCTACATATACCCAGTGAAGTGACAGACCTTGGGGGATACGCAGAGATGGAACAAATCCTCCTACATAAACTGTACCTGGCTACCTGCAGTATTCTCTTCTCTACAGCTGTTCAAAGTGCTGAATTTATAAAGCTTGTCTGACAGTTCATAAAAAAGGGGATGGAGAGCTGAAATTACACAGAGCAGAGCTCACAGCAGTGAGGAGACTGACAGCTGATTGGAGGGAGGAGACACCTATCTCCACACAGCTCATAGGAACAGAGCTGAGGTCGTCAATCTGCTGGAGGTTCCTGTCCCTGTCACCATATTTCTGTCAGGAAAAAGTGTCAGACTTAATTCATGCTGATAGTAGAGGAACAAAGCAGCAGACAGAAATGGCAATTAGTGACTTAATTAAGTAAGCGTAAGAGATACGTACACATTTTAGAGGTACATACTTTCATATCTGAGGTTTACAATCACTTTAATTGTACATTCACCATAACAAATTGTTATTTTGCTGTATGAAATTATATTTTACTAAGTCATAAACCGTAGTGCAGCGCTAAACAAATAATCACCAATCTGATCTAAAATGATTAATCACTCATGAATATGATTCCAGATCGGAATAAAATTCAATAGAAATTCAGTATATAATATAGTGTCCAGAACTAGCCACAATGGTAGTAGTTATTCCCACTGATGAATGATTATATAAATCTCTCTGTGTATATAGATCTGGAAATCTGGTGGCTGGCGATCAAATTGGATATAGAAAGATTGCCCACTCACCGGAAGCGCAATCTTAATGCGCAAGGATCAGATAAACCAGCAGCAGGGGTTCCCTTGATGGTGCAGCCTGAAGCAGGATCCCTTCCTCTGCTAATACGGATAATGGGTGTCTCCCTCCTAAATGCCTTGGCTCAGGTGAACATTAGTGGGGTCTGGTCACTGGCTCCCTCCTTTAATCCTGGTGTAGCTATTGAAATCCTGCTGAAATTAAAGATTGCCCCCAGACTTCCACGATCCGGCGGCTTGACGTCACGGCGTGTATGGGCTCCTACTGACGCGTTTCGGAAGCAAATACGTCCTCAGAAGGGGGGCAGCACCACTAAAGTTCACCTGATCCAAGGCATTTAGGAGGGAGACACCCATTATCCGGATTAGCAGAGGAAGGGATCCTGCTTCAGGCTGCACCATCAAGGGAACCCCTGCTGCTGGTTTATCTGATCCTTGCGCATTAAGATTGCGCTTTCGGTGAGTGGGCAATCTTTCTATATCCAATTTGATCGCCAGCCACCGGATTTCCAGATCTATATACATGGAGAGATTTATATAATCATTCACCAGTGGGAATAACTACTACCATTGTGGCTAGTTCTGGACACTATATTATATACTGAATTTCTATTGAATTTTATATACCGATCTGGAATCATATTCATGAGTGATTAATCATTTTAGATCAGATTGGTGATTATTTGTTTAGCGCTGCACTACGGTTTATGACTTATTCATTTGAGAAAGTTTGTGGTTACTTTTTTTTTTGGTGCATTAGCTGCTACAGTAAGCGCTCGTTTTATACCCTTGATTTTAATTATATTTTACTGTTGACATTCTCTCAAAATTTCCTTTTATATCATGAAAAATAGCTCCTTTTCCACAAAAACTTTACACTGCCATCACCATTCACAATTTGCAACTCCCATGATGCTGTTCACAGCATGTATGATGGACAACGGCTGCATTTGGCTATATGGATACATACACTTTATTATTATGATTATACAGGATTTATTTAACGCCAACAGTTTGCTCAGTGCTTTACACTATAACGCGAGACAATACAACAACAATACAGTTCAATACAAGAGGGAAAGGAGGTCCCTGCTCCTTGGAGCTTACAATTAGGAGGGAGGGGCTAGTGGTACAAAAGGTAGTAACTGTGGGGGATGGACTGGTTGGAAGAGTAGAAGATTCCATTATTAGCGGAGGGCAGGATTGGCTTCCCTGAAAAGATAGGTTTTCAGAGATCGCCTAAAAGTGAGCAGAGTAGGCGATAGCCTGATAAATTGGGGTAGAGAGTTCCAGAGGATGGGAGAAGCTTTGGAGAAGTCCTGGAGACGAGCATGGGAGGAGGAGACGTGAATTAAAAGTGAAAGGATCCTGCCACTGTAATGCATATAGCCACACTATTGTCAAAAGATAAATTATAAGGTTACCTGGGCATCACTGTCTTTAATCACCAGGAGGACAGGAGTGTCTAATCCCAGCATTGTCCTGTACAGAGTCTTCAGACTCATTCCATGTTTTGCTGTACTGTACACAAGTGTCCATGGGTAGCCAATTGTGCGAGGTGGGAGGTGCTTTGTGAGCTGTTGGAACAGTCAAAGACACTAGCATTAGATAAATGAAACAGTTTCAATCTAAAAATAATATAGTCTCGATAATATATCCTAAAATAGACAGCCAAAATAGGATTGTGTACTCACAGTAAATTAATAAAAATAAATAAATCTGTGGGCCAGCCCAAGATAACACCTTCTAATCAGTTTGTAGCAAGCAGGACTGAAGCAAGTTGGGACCTGTGTTCATCAATGGACTCCAAGGAATGGATTCTACAAATAAAAATCTTAATACGGCTTTCTGGTTCACAACTCCAAGTTGTGAGACAGTGGCCCCTGCTGCCCTTTGGAGAACCAAGGTTTGATCCCTTGGAGTCAACAAGACAAAATAGGGAAGGTACATGGAAGCTTCCTTTGCAAGGAGTACTCAGGGAATAGCAGGTAGATATCCATGCAAAACAAGCAAGGAGGAATACACATCCAATAAAACTGAGGATCAACCTCAACTCCCACCTAACTGTAGGGGATTCTTCCAGCAGCCAGTTCCCTCTGCTGCCGAGCAGCACACAACAGATCCTGACTGGACAAGCTCAAACAAGAAATGAAGAAATGTGGGTCAGTGCATGCTTAATGCATCATCACTTCTGGTTTTTGGAACGCACTTGGTTTTCCAGACTGTCACTTCTGGTCCTGGTAAGGTAGTCCGAAAATAGACTTAAAAACAAAAAGGGGGGTGGGTGGAGTACCTCGGTGAGGATGGCACTCAACACTCCACTCTCATTTAGCAGTTGAGAGACAGACAATTCCTTGACCAATGACAAAAGACCTGAGGGAGAAGAGTTAAGGGAATAGTTTCCAGCACAGATTCCTCAAAAAGCAAGATTCAGCTAGGCATTTAGCTCATCAAGAAGGTGTAATTCACTAGGGTCTGTAACGAATAGTCTTTCAACAGTAGGTCATCTGTCTCACAAGGGGGATACCATGAGAAGGCAATAGAACATACACTGGAGCCAACACCCTGAAGAACATTAGGTTTGCAGGGGTAACACTTATGAGTCACAGCACTGGCAGGATGGTGATCAGTCAAACGCTAGTAACAGCTGTCCATGCAGGTAAGAGCATCTGGGGAAGGACAGGGATGGTGGATCTGAGAAATACCAAGCACAACTGTTGGCCTTATGTCTGATGGCCTTAAGTATCCCAAAGGGATCAATTGATTGCTCTCGGGGAGAGGACAGTGGCCAGAATGGGAAAGGCCAAAAAAGAGCTATAATAAAAATCTCTGGGTTAAGGAAGTCACATAGTGGCAGAGGTAGGTCTGGTAATCTGTGTAGTGGCGCAGGAAGATAGAAGGTTAGCGGCCTGACAGAGTGCAAGATATTTTATTGTATACCTGAAGAGGTGCTCTCTGTACCTGAATGCCACAATACTCAAGAGCCGGCAAAGATTAACAAACATGCCCCCACTTCCCACCTTTGGAAATGTGGGGGCCCAATTTCATACTAAAGACTTCTTTGAGGGTTTAGCAGGTTTCTTGTTTCCAACCTTGAGGGTGGCCAAAGAACCAGGCTTGGGAGGTCTAGTCGGGTCTACTCCAGGACTAGGTGAAATAGAGGGATAAAACTCAGCTGATCTTTCCTTGGACTTCTCATGCTGAGGCAGATGAACGGTCTTATGAAACAGAAGTCTGAGGTAATGGCAGAAGATTTTGGTTCCCCCAAACAAGTTCAGCAGGAAAATCCTAAGGGGACACCAAATCAGAGTCAGAGATGGTATTCTAAGCCTGTCATAGGATCGGAAACAGTCTCTGCAGGAAGGCACAGGAGCAAACTTAAGGCCTCTATAGTCAGCACCAGCAAAAACTGTGCAAATTTGGCCACACATTGTCGTGTCACTGTAGTGCAGACCTTAGGTAATGAAGGAGGGAACTTGGCCACACCCAGCTCAGCTGAGGCCTCAGCTACACCCCATAACCTTCAGAAGAGCAAACGTCACCTAAAAACAGGGACGTGTGAGCTTGGGGTACCTATTGCAGTGGGATTGTCCCCTCTGTCTAGATACAGACATGTATGCAAAAGTTATAGGACAAGACCTCAGGTAATCACAAAAACACAGAAAGCTGGAGGTTGAATGGCTGGAGGAGACCAAAGTCACTGTATGTGAGTAATAGAAATAGACCGAAGTGCAGAGCTCCACTCCGCTCTTTGCAAAGCAGAAACAGCAGTGTGGCTATGCTTCCTTGACAGTTAATGGTGGGTAAGAATACTGAGCATGCAACACCCATCCAGTGAATGATGTCAGTGCTCAGTCCCTCAGTGTTAATCTTTTCCACTGTACAGAACCGACAGAAAGTGGAAAGTCTATAGGCGCTCAGAATAGGGTCTTGAAATCTACTATGGAACATAGTGCCTGAAGTTAACTTCCAAGCTATTCCTGCAATGTCTGGCCCAACAGAGTATGGGTATTGCCCTCTAAAGATAGAGTTAGGAAAGGCTCCTCCAGATAACCAATGTTGTAGAGACTAGCTTAAACAGTGATATTTAGGCATTTTAATTTTCCTTAAAGGTTTAAACTCAAAAGCAAATTTCACCTACAGGTAGCACTGCAGAAGAACTCTGCAACTATTACTCTCCGCCTTGAAAAGCTGCAAGAAGCAGAAAATAGACATGTGTCACTAAAATAGGAAAACAGCCCACCTTTTCTATTTGGTCAGTTTGTAGAAGCTGGCTAGGGTCACTGAGGTTTGGTCTGAAAGCTTCGGGCTCAAGGTCAGTCTTGATGCTTGTTGCTTGCTTGGAGTTCACGTCCTCCCTTGTGGTAATCTTTACAAGACAGATGAAAAAACAAGTTAACAGAAACAGCAGGACACACAAAGGTGACTGGCTGGCTGAAATCAATGTATTTCAGAGTAATTGCCATGATTGTGTGACTATCTTTCTTTACAGTGACTTCTGAAGGTCAAGAAAAGAGATTATATATATATATATCCCTTCTACTAAGAACATAGCGATTACTGGGCATATTTCTGAAAAGCTTTATTTTTCTTTTTAAAGTGTTACTAAATCCACATCAGTAAATTAGCCCATATATGCAGTAAAGCATGCTTGCTATACTGGCTGGGGAACCTAAGGGGTTAATCCTCTGCATTGTGTAAAAAGGCTGTTTGATCCATAGTGCTTTGCTCCTCCCCCTTGTTTAAGAGTTCACCTCTTATCTCCTGAGAAGACAGACTGAGCCATAGGCCTTTTGCAAATGCTCAGTTTGGTGTGTATTGCTAGAGAGGTTTTTTTTTTCCTTGGGAGAGTGCATGTGATCAGCACTGGTCAGACAGAGGTCAGGGGATTTCCATCCTCCTAGAGCAGAAAGAAAACTCCTCCTACAAGCTGTAGCTAGTGCTTGTCTGAACACTGATAGAAGTCACAAGACTGCTCTAACTGCTGATGAGAAAAGGTATTTAGCAGTTTATATTTACTAATATAATTACATTTCCATGTTCTATGTGCTGTGGGAGACCAGATATAGTGAATGCAGGGTCCGGGGTTTAGGAACACTTTAATGCCACAAGATTATGGGGTCTTATTGATGAGATATTTCTTACAACTCATATTAATCAAACCTATTCAAACCTGCTTTAGAAAATAACAACGTTAAACTCCAAGTAGATATAAAAGGCATGGATTAACACAAAAGGAGCCAATTAGTTGTGCTGCATGGCAAGGATCATGCCATCAGGAGGAGAGAGCGGAGTGACAGACAGGAAAGCTCATCAGTCTGCTGCATCTCATTGCACTGTGTTACTGAACTGCAGCAGAGATAACTCAGGTGTTCTCACCTGTCAGACAGAGCTGTGTAAATGTCAGAACTAGATTGACACCAACTGTGTATTTAAGAACTCAGCTTTAAAGAATGAAACCTGAAACATATAGGTTGCTTTTATAGAGCAATAATATTCCTGCAAACTGTGCCACTATGGGTCTGGGTTTTATAAGTAAACCTCTGCTGACACAGCCATTCACTGGGAAGCTCAGCGTGCTGTTTCTTCTCCCCCAGCACTCTGCGCAGCCAAGAACAGACGGTACAGTGGGGCCAAAAAGTATTTAGTCAGCCACCAATTGTGCAAGTTCTCCCACTTAAAAAGATGAGAGAGGCCTGTAATTGGCATCATAGGTAGACCTCAACTATGAGAGGCAAAATGAGAAAAAAAATCCAGACCGACAATCATATTGGCTGATTTGGATAGAATTTATTTGCAAATTATGGTGGAAAATAAGTATTTGGTCAATATCAAAAGTTCATCTCAATACTTTGTTATATATCCTTTGTTGGCAATGACAGAGGTCAAACGTTTCCTGTAAGTCTTCACAAGGTTGGCACACACTGTTGCTGGTATGTTGGCCCATTCCTCCATGCAGATCTCCTCTAGAGCAGTGATGTTTTGGGGCTGTCACTGGGCAACACGGACTTTCAACTCCCTCCAAAGGTTTTCTATGGGGTTGAGATCTGGAGACTGGCTAGGCCACTCCAGGACCTTGAAAATGCTTCTTACGAAGCCACTCCATTGCCTGGGCGGTATGTTTGGGATCATTGTCATGTTGGAAGACCCAGCCACGTTTCATCTTCAATGCCCTTGCTGATGGAAGGAGGTTTGCACTCAAAATCTCACAATACATGGCCCCATTCATTCTGTCCTGTACATGGATCAGTCGTCCTGGTTCCCTTGCGGAGAAACATCCCCAAAGCATGATGTTGCCACCCCCATGCTTCACAGTAGGTATGCTGTTCTTTGGATGCAACTCGGCATTCTCTCTACTCCAAAACATGATGAGTTGTGTTTCTACCAAACAGTTCTATTTTGGTGTCATCTGACCATAGGACATTCTCCCAATCCTCTTCTGGATCATCCAAAGGCTCTCTAGCAAACTTCAGACGGGCCCAGACATGTACTGGCTTAAGCAGGGGGACACGTCTGGCACTGCAGGATCTGAGTCCCTGGCGGCGTAGTGTGTTACTGATGGTAGCCTTTGTTACGTTGGTCCCAGCTCTCTGCAGGTCATTCACTAGGTCCCACCATGTGGTCCTGGGATTTTTGCTCACCGTTCTTGTGATCATTTTGACCCCACGGGGAGAGATCTTGCGTGGAGCCCCAGATCGAGGGAGATTATCAGTGGTCATGTATGTCTTCCATTTTCTAATTATTGCTCCCACAGTTGATTTGTTCACACCAAGCTGCTTGCCTATTGCAGATTCAGTCTTCCCAGCCTGGTGCAGGTCTACAATTTTATTTCTGGTGTCCTTCGACAGCTCTTTCGTCTTCACCATAGTGGAGTTTGGAGTGTGACTGTTTGAACTTATCAGTATAAAAGACACCTGTCCACAATCTCAAACAGGTGCCATTGATACAGGTAATGAGTGCAGGACAGAGGAGCCTCTTAAAGAAGAAGGTACAGGTCTATGAGAGCCAGAAATCTTGCTTGTTTGTAGGTGACCAAATACTTATTTTCCACCATAATTTGCAAATAAATTATTTCCAAATCAGCCAATGTGATTGTCTGGATTTTTTTTCTCATTTTGTCTCTCATAGTTGAGGTCTACCTATGATGCCAATTACAGGCCTCTCTCATCTTTTTAAGTGGGAGAACTTGCACAATTGGTGGCTGACTAAATACTTTTTTGCCCCACTATAAGTGATCACTTATAAAAAAAAAGACATTATGAATACCCTTTTCCCCTTTTTTATATCTATACACAAATATTTTGCCTTTCATTTCTATTTTAAACTGAATGGGTTGTTTTACAAGGTGAGGGATTACATATACTTTACGTTTGACGATAAAGATGTAATTATTCTGCATTAGTAACATCAGTGGATATTCTGTATACATGTACAGTATATGCAGTAGTGGCAAGTCATGTGCAATGCACTCTGAAATACATAACATTTAGAAAGTTGGAGATTTTCACACTGCATGCAATGACCGTACCGGACTCCATGCCTAAAGAATGCCCACTCCTTGCTGCAAATTCCCAACAAACGGACGTGACAATATTACAACTCTCCCACAAATTAGACTTTTATTTTAAATAAGCTCAGCACTGTAAAAGGTATGAAAGTGAAAACTCCATGAACACAAAGAAATAGAACATCAATTCAACACAAACCGTTGACAACCTGAAATGTACGCAGATCTTCGCTGGAAATAAATTCAACAAAAGGAGAACAAATACAATAAAACAAAATACATCAAGATTTAAAAAATGATACTTGAATGCTTTATACACCAATTCTGATGCAGTTTTCACGAACAAAGCTGGAAAGCTATATTTTATTTCTGAACTTTCGTTCTCAGGCTAAAGAAACTTATAAAAGATGTTTGGGGCTCAAACAGGTTTAGGGATTAAATGTATGGGTTCTTCAAGTCCTAGTTACCATGCTGTGGCTCTGCTCTCCTCACCCCGTATGACAGCTGGGAGACAATCTGTGTATATGGCTGGGCAGTCTTATCGTGAGATAGTATGTCACAGGGTCTACCTACCCCAATCCCAACATGTACCATGCTTCAGGTTGCCATATGCTAACCTGTTGTAATCCAGCTTTTCTACGGACCCTTAAGCACTATAGACTGGTATACCCCCCAAAAAAGTTTTACGTGCACTGGGAGAACAATTATGCTAAGGCAGATAGGTTACTGCATTCACTTCATTATTAATGGCTAGCATTCAACAAGCTTGAGAAACTAATGAGTTTGAGGGCTATTCATAGATCAAGTATTTTGAGAATTCAATCATTTTGATATTTTAGAAACATTTATAGGTATGTTTATAATATTTCATTTTCTTTAAAGACAAAGTTCGCCCATTTAAAAAACTCTGTGAGGTCAAGGCATCCCAGCAATGTAAAAAAATAACATTTATGTCATATCTGTAAGCCAAGCTCTGCTTCACCAAAGCCTGGCCAAAAAATTATCATCCTGACAAATCTGCCTCATCCTGGCATAGAAGCGGAGATGCCTTGAGTGTGCCTTAGCATCATCATATGAACTAGCGCTCTCCATTGTCAGTATGGACAATGTCTTTTTGACTGAATGGGGCCCCTTGACTGCACAGTATTTTTTAAAGGTGAACTTAACCTTTAAAGAAAATTCAAATATGTGTAAGAATGCAGCTGGAATAACAGTGCTCAGTAGATGAAGACCCCACTTTGGAGTGGATCCTGATTCTTGCAGCTTTATGGTTTTCAGAGAACTAGAAGTTACAAAAAGCACCAACTGCTAGTAGCTCTGAGGTTGTAGCTCGTTGATAGGAATAGTTTGGTTCTTTACTTTTTACATAGCCTTTATTCCGCCAACAAAACCAGGTAGAAAGATATTTTTTTCCTATATAAAACCAGGTGTGGTCACACTGTAAATTAGTAACCTAGCAACAGACCAACATGTTCTACTTCATATATGTTTAAATGTAGTCTAAACCACTGGTCAAAAGGTTTTCCAGCATAGTATATTCAACATGAGACTGCACAATCTGTAAAGTAGTAACCTAGCAACAGACCAATAGGTTCCATTTCCTATATGTTAAATGTGGTCTGAACCATTGCTCAAAAGCATTCCAGTGGAGTATATTCAACATGAGACTGTACAATCTGAAAAACGCCAGTTTGACAGTTCATGACCCCATGGTCTCACCATATAACAGCCTCTCTCAACCTTGTAACACCACAATAACTCTTGAAATAATTTTGAGGTTTGGGAAACCAAGTTAAAACTAATTCATTGGGGGAATGTGCAAATGCCTCTTATACTATTGGCCAGTGAAAAGAATGCCCCCT